GACGCCGTCTTGTCGGACCGCATGCGGACGTACCTCGCGGGCATTTTCCTCGATATTCCCGAGCGGACGCTGGTTCGCGGGCTGGAAGATGCGACCGCGGCCGCACAAGCGTTGCGTCCATCGACGCCGTGCGCGCCACGGGTCTTTGACGGCGCATCGTGGGCGGAGCTCAGCGATCCAATCCCGGCCGCCACCCAGAACGCTCTGATGGGCTCGTATGTGGCGACGATTTCGACCGAGTATTATCGCAACGCGACCATCTCGCGCGGCGAGAGCGGTGATCTCGTGCTGCAATACGGTGCCTACACGGCGCCGGTGTATTTTGCACGCAACTCGACGACGACGTTGCTTTGGGCGACGGATGCCATCTCCATCGGCGGTCCGACGTTTGGTGTCGAGGGGCTCAACACGTCGTCGCCAACGATTCTTGTGGACGTCCCGTTCACCAAGGTCTAGGCGACTCGATGATATAGCTCCAATAGGAAGCATATTCAAGATAATAAAGTCCTTTGGCTATCCATCCATTCATCCATCCATCATAGTCACATTGATATCAAATTAGCAAACACCAACTTCAAGACTTTGCATGCGTAGTGCCTCGACGCGTGTGAGTCGGCACTTGGTCGTTGGCGTGAGCTGCGTACAGAGAGATTTATCGCGTGGTGGACACACTAGAAGAGTGATATGCACACTAGGTACACCGACATAGAGCGTAATCTCACAAACAAAATTTGATGCAAAATATGTCGTTCAACATCCCATGTGCATCATTACGACGCGATCGTTGTCGTGCCAACAACAACTGCCGTCGCACCGGTCTTGGACACGTTGTTGCTGGTCGCCGACTTGAGGTAGCAGACGCCTTCAAACAAGACGTACGCACCGCAGGCCATGTTCTTCTTGCACGCCTCGCAGCACTGACCGAGCATACTGTTGTAGTCGCCTGTCGCTTGCAAGGTAGCAATGTCGTTGCCGACAAAGTCCGTGTTGTACAACGGCGGGTTGACGCACGTCCGAACAATCACCACCGTC